TGTGGCGCAAAAAGCTGCCTGAAACAGCCTGAAAAACAGCCGGAAAATGGCCCAAAAACAGGCCAAAAAATGGGCTGGGGCAGGGCCAGCCAGTGGTGGGATTTGATAGTTCACTGAACTGCATCTAATCTTAACTATTGGTTTGCCAGAACCAGTGAGAATTAGCAGCAGCCCACCTCTGCATAAGAATTTTCCTCCCACCCATGGTAGTCTGTCTTTCATGGAGCAAGTGCTTTTGTAGTCAAGGAACCACTCGTTCTTCTCTACAGCCTGTTTAAAGGCTACAGTAATGGCATTAACTACAGGGATGGTCCTCCTTCACTTGCAATCTTGTGGTGACCTGTGCTGCTAATTGCGATGTGAGGAGCATGGGTTTGCACTGTTATACTGGAGCAGTCTGGCCTCCCCAACCCCAGTAAATAGTGGAGGGTAAATTGCTGAAAGAATTGGGCCCAACGGGCTTGCTTAGGGGACATTTTCCTTGGGGTCTTTAGGGCTTCCAGATTCTTGTGATCAGATTCTTGTGATCTGGAAAGGGATTTTATTCTCTTCTAGTAAGTTTCACCAAGTGAGGAGGGCCCATCTGACTGCAAATGCTTCCTTCTCCCATATTGTCCAGTGCTGCTTGGTTTCAGTTTTTTCCAATGTGTATGCACAAGGCTGTAGTTGACCCCCCTCATTTTCCTGGAGCAGCACAACCCCCACTGCATATCGCTGGCATCAGACTGAATCACAAAAGGTTTTTCCGAGTCTGGGTGTTCAACACCAGCTCGGCTGAGAAGAGTTTTTTTTTAGCTTCTTGAATGCAACTTGGCATTCCATGTTCCACTTTAGTGATTGGCTGGGTTTAGGCTTATCTACCCCCATGGTTCTCAGCAAGTTAGTGATAGGGTGATTTGGGTGAATGACAGAATGAATTGCCTATAGAAATTTGTGAACACTAGGAAGCTTTGTAGCTGTCTTCGGGTGTGTGGGGCTTGGTTGTGAGATACCTCCCATACTCTTGCATGTATGTAAGCACATGTGCCAGGAAGAACCCGAGTTGTTGGGGGGTCTCCATTGAATTTTATGGTGGGGACGATGCCTTCCATTCAACTGAGGTGCATTGCTTGCTTTATGAGTTGGTCAGATCGGCCCGATGCTTCCTCCATCTTGTAGCTGTCATGCAGGATTTCCAGCTTGTGTTTCCATCCCCGCTGTCAGTTGCCCTGGATAAAAGGGACTCCTTGGGACCTCCTATCCCAGTCTTCCTTCCCTATTCGAATGGACCACCTTGGTTTTGTGGAATTGCCCAGGACGATTCCGTCCTTCATCCACACGCTGAGGCTTTTATCAGATAGAGCCTCAATGGGGCTTCCTCCCTGTATTTGGCTTCCTCGTGATCACTGCCCTGGTTGGACATTATTTGCATGGTCCCCGTGGTAGGGCTGGAGCCCCTTCGGGTTGACCACTTTGCAGATTCTGCCTAATGTAAGGTCTGAGCTGAACTTTGGGCTGAGGAGGTGATAACAGGCAGTTCCCAGGCGCCACAATCTTGCTCCTCCAGTGGTGAAACAAAACAGATGGCCCAAGGCATATTCTTTCCCACCCTCCCAACATCCCAAAGGTGCATCAAAGCAGAGAAAAGGAACAAAGAAAAATCCCATGCTAGCATAATCCAAATCATCCCTCCTCCCACCAGAATGGCAAGATCCCGATATAGACCTATTGGACCTCACAGAGCCCCAAATTTATATTGCTAAGTGAGATATTTGTTAAGTGAATTTTGTCTCATTTTATGACCTTTCATACCACAGTTGTTAAGGGAATCACTGCAGTTGTTAATTTAGTAACATGGTTATTAAGTGAATCTGGCATTCCCATTGGCTTTGCTCATTAGAAGATCGCAAATGAGGAACATATGATCTCAGAACACTGCAACAGTCATAAATATGAGTCAGTTGCCAAGCATCTGAATCTTGACCACATGACCATGAGGATTCTGCAATGGTCTTAAGTGTGGAAAATAGTCACAAGTCACTTGTTTCAGTGATGTTGTAACTTTGGACGGTCATTAAGTGAACTGTTGTAAGTTGAAGACTCAGTTTCTACTCAGCTCAGTTTCAAGAATCTTCACAAGTCCTCATCCTATACTTGTGCATTTCATATTTTTCCACGTAAAAACATGTTGCATATATTTCTGTTGAGTTGCATTCCCTTATAATCACCTCATTTTTCCAAACTAGCACAATTGCTTTTTAAGTTTGCTGTTATCTAGTGGTATGTAGCTATTTGTGCACATTTCATACACATGCTCTTCATCTCATCTCCCAAAATAATACCACCATATGTCTATTAAGAACAGTGTGGCACGTTTCCAGTTTTTCTACACTGTTCTTTTAAAGTTACACAATTAGATATAGCTTGGCAAAACTAATTCTAGACAATTCTGTACTGACTTATAACCGCCACATTGTTTTTAAGTTGCGTATGGGAGGACTGCTTTATAATTTTCTGTGGGTTTCCCCACCCCTTTAAAAATTGCTCCCTTACAGTCAATGGCATTTCAGGCTTCCTTGGATTTCTCAAAGTCCACAAATGACATGAGCATCATGATATAAGCTTTGCTACTGTTGTATATGCACCATATTGCACAAATGTATATAAGGATGGAGCTTGTATCACAACATTGCAACATATTTCATATTTTTTTTATGAAATTCAGACCCAAGTAGTGTTTCTGGATCATTCTTCAATCAGTTCATGATGTTTCTATAGATCTCTAGATACAATCTTGCTCTTTAATCCTTCTCTTCGGAACTGCTTGGTGGTACATGTACCTACAGAGCTGCAGGATTGAGAGAAATCAGCAAACTACCCAGTTTACATTCCTGAAAGATGCTTTGGCACTAAAAACTGGCTTTACTCATTTGTAATTAACAGCTAATTAGCTTTTCCAAAATGATATCAACAAATGCTACTAAAAAATATAGGGACATGTTCTATAGTTAATAGGGTGTGTCAAATTTTTCAACTTTAATTTCCAAACATTAGGGGTGCTCAAAAATTGTGACATGCTTTAGGGATTGTAAAGATATTTTGGTTACTTTAATATAATTTAGATGTGCTTGGTAAATGACTACATAAATTTCATAACATTTCAAACCAGTACCATCAAAGAACATTTTTCTGTGTGCAGTGAGATGGGTGGAAGATATCTTTATCGTTTCACTCCAGAGAAAGGCTCAGAAACAGTTCAAGTGATTGCAGATAATCTGGTGTATTTCATGAAGCAGCAGCACTGACAAAAGCTTGAAGGCCATTGGAGGAGATTCTACAAATGTTAATACTGACTGTGAAGATGATGCCATGTACAAGGTAGAAGTCAAGCCAGAGCCTCGGTGGCACAGTGCTTAGAGTGCAGTACTGCAAGCTACTTCTGCTGCAGCCAGCTGCCTGCAATTTGGCAGGTCCAATCTCCCCAGGCTCAAGGTTGACTCAGCCTTTCTTCCTTCTGAGGTGGATAAAATGAGGACCTAAATTGTTGGGGGCAATATACTGACTCTGTAAACCGTTTAGAAAGGGCTGCAAAGCACTATAAAGCAGTATATAAGTCTTAAGTGCTATTGCTATTGCTATCCACCCTGATGGAGCTGATTGACTCGACTGAAGGTGTATATGAGTCATCTTTGACGTGCAAACTGACTACAGAGGAAATAAAGAAGTTCATTGACAAACCAATGTAAGTACCACAGTGGCCCTGTCATGCCCAATCAATAGGGAGATGTGTAAAACAGGTCACAGAGGCAGCAAGCAGAGGATATACACATGAGAAATGTGAGGATTATATCAGAGGCCAAGAAGGAAGTCAGCAGCTGATGTCGAACAACAAATCAAACTAAGACTTGATGAAACTCACTTAAACATTTTTGTAACTCAGATAATTGCTATGGATAATTGCATGGATTATTTTTTGCTTAGCTAGATAAGATTCATGCCGAAAAAAATGTTAATTTTGTAGCACAAGGTATAATTTTGAGAAGATAAAGTTAACAGTATTTGTGGGGTATATGATCAGACGCGGATTTACCATACCAAGCTAAATATTATACAATTGCAAAAGTAACAGGAGATTTGAATTCTTGGTGCAAAAACACATTTTTAGAACCCCTCACTGAAAAAAAAAATCAAAAATTAATTGTCACCCCATTAAATGACACACCCTAATAGTTAAGATATTAAGAGATATACTGGAAAATACTGTATAGCCAATTCTTCATTATGGACCTTATTCTGTTAGTAGAATCACTACCGTAGGCATTTTTTTAAAAGGTATTTCATCTTTCCACAAAAGATAAAGGAGCCGTCTAAAGCAGGGGTCCCCAACCCCCAGGCCACAGATCTACTGGGCCGTGCAAGCGGCAGGAAAACATGTGAAGCATCACTGCACATGTGCGGGAGTTAGCTTGCACACACAAAACCCTTTCCTCCCCACCACTGCCACTGCTGCTGCTTTCAGTCCATGGAGCCAGAAAGGTTGGAGACTGCTGGTCTAAAGAATTCTGCGTGATAATCAGACTGCATTTAGTAATGAGAAACATGTATAATCATTAAAATATGGAATAGTATACAACTTTTAAAACATTGGCTTGCTTTTATTTACAACATCACATTCTTTATAAGAAGTCATTTAACTGAATTCCAAATACAGAGATTAAATAATAAAAAAACCTTCCTTTTTTAAAAGTGAAGCTATTGCCTATTGACCCTGAAATGAAGTAGTCATAAATGAATAGGAGAAAAATTGCTTATAAAGTTTTATTTGATGAAGTCCATTTATAAGGTCACTTTTGCTTCCAAGACCATTTTCATCCATGATTTCAAAACTGAACATTTGCTCTGCAATGGCTTGTGGTTCCAGAGGTTGTTTTTTTTTTTTTTTAACATAAGAACTTGATAAGGATATAGTATGGTTGCTGCTCTTTCAAATACAGCCATTACAGGAAATCTGAAAATTAGTCTTAAAAAAACTAATTTCCAGAAAGAAAGAAAATTCCAATTTCCAGTTTAATATTTTATAAAACATTTTTTTTTTTGCTTTCTGTATTGTTTTCAAAATGCCACCTAAAATTGAGGACTTAAAGGGACATATAATGTGCTTATTGAATTGCTTACAGCTACAGTATTGAATCTGAGAGAGACAGACAGACATTTGGAGCAGCTGTTCATAATCACAGTTATCAGTTCAGAATCTGCATAAGCAAAACTTCAAGATATTGGCATATGGTCAAATGAATTCATGCGTGCGAACTGTGTTGTCTTCAGAAGTATGAAAGCATCTCAAACAGGTACAGCTGTAAGCCTGGGTGGCATGGTTGTCAGTCAGTCCAATAGCCCCAGCAACAGCTGCCATCTATTGCTGTGAGAGTAAAGCATTTCTATTGGCTTTCATCTTCTCTAGCCGTTTAACTAGATGGCCATTACTTACTTCAAGTTCTTCTGTTTTGTCTAATGCTGAACGAAGCTGAAAAAAACATTTAAAAGAGACATTGTATTCAAATTAAGGTATAGAAAATAGCATGCCCTTCAGCAATGACTGTAATATGCCAGATGGAAAAGAAAGCTTGCTTGAAATATTTTTCAGCTTAACAGGTACTTCAGGTTACCTTCTGGGGTATAATTCAAATAGGATCTATGCCCACACAGAACAACACCTGGAAAACTTTTACACATTCTTTTTCAGTTCTAAAAGTTTAAGATGTCTTTTTACTTATATATTGTACAAGTCTACAGACTTAGTCCTTCAGTTTAGATTAAAAGGACACCAAGATGCCAGCTCATTTCTTTCTGTAGGAATAGGGACACAAATATTGTTTTGTTTTTTTTAATTTCCAACCAAAGATCTGTTCTGACAAGCTCTGAACAAAGAGTTCAGTTGGGATTGATGTCAGAATAGTCAAGATTTTCTTTGATTATCTCAGGGAAAGTCTGCATCAGCAATCAAGCTTTGCTGATTTGAAGGTTACAGCATATTTTTTCAGTATTTTATAACTAATATTCAGCCACATAGTACATTTGACAAATTCTAAAAAATTAGGGGTAAATATAAATTAGGTTTATTTTACAATACTTTTTTTTGGTGTATCGAAGGGTATCAGTGTGAGAGACCTGTTTCTGAAAATGTATAATCAGCATGAATTTTAATGTACAGGTAATCTTCGATTTACAACCAGAATGGAGCAACTCATGATGGTCCTTAAGCGAGGTGATCATGTGACCACTTAACAATTCCTATCTGTTTTCCCTCATGTGATCGTTTATAGAGCTCAGGGTGCCTCAGGGGAGGTCCTGCGGGGCCTAGCGCAGACATTGGTTTGCCTGCCCTTCCTCCCAAGGCCTCCTCCAACCTGAGACACCCCATGCTGTGTTCCCAGGATCAGAGTCCCCACAGGCCTTGGGCCTGCTTCCTACCCCACCAGATCCCACACTGGCAACTCCTATCACCCATTGCTCATTTACCTTCTATAGGTCTCCAAATGGTAAATGGCCTACACCCACACCCTCCTCCCCACCCGTGACTGCTCACTTATGTGGAAGCGGGCACAAGTATGGCTGGACTGAAAATGGCACCCCATTCCCAGATGAAGCCATGCAATCTAAAGGGGTCAAGGAATGGAGTGGCCTGCTCCCCTTCCCCAATATGGGTGCCAGACATCTACAGACATCTACATGGCCTATTACCACACCCTCCTACTCATCTTCCAATTGCTCACATTTTGTAGATTTCTGGACTTTGTATTTGGAAAGGAGGGCAAGCTACTGTCCTGCAGGCCACATGGCCCCTTCTCAGAAGTGGGCACAGTTTTTTGGAACAGCCACAATTCATTGTGGGATCCTGAGGAGTAGAGAGGCCTGCTGTTTTTTCACAATGCAAGTATCCGGTAGCTGTTGCAGCCCACCATTCCTTTGGTTGGCTCACTCTGGGGCTGCGGAGCCCGTACAGCGCAGGTGAGTTGATGTCCTGTCCAAGCAGCAGACGGGGCAGAGGCGTGGTGGGGAGGAAGGTGATCTGGATGTGCTGCGCAGGCTGCAGGAAAGCTGAGTGTCAATGGGCTGGAGTGGACAGGCAGCTGCAGGAGACTCATATTTGCGGGGCGAGACCGGCAGCAGATGGAGGCAGAGGCGTGGGGCAGAAGGCAACGCAGGCTGCAGACAAGCTGAGAGATACAAAGATGACTTCCCACAGCCAGCCAGCCACCCACTTCAGCCTACTGACTCTGCTTTCCTGTGGCTCACACAGTGTGTCCAGAATACCTACCTTCCCTCCTGGCGCCTTGGCCTCCATCTGTTGCTTGTACAGGGAATCAGGCTACACAGGCTACACAGGCTACAGCTGCTGCCAGACACTTTCTCCGTGCACGCTCACCGCCTCCTGTGCTGGCGATGCCCACCCCACTTCCCTAGCCCTTATTTTGGGTAGGGCTTATATTAGGCACATGCTTAAAAATCAGGGTTTATCAGGCCTTATTTTTGGGGAAACATGGTACCTGCCTTCAAACAAGAACTGGTGGGACCACAAAATAGGCAATAAATGAAAATGAAGAAGCTAAATTGCTCTGGGACTTTAGTATTAAAGCAGACAAACACCTGTAACATGACACCCTACAACCTCTGATAAGAAAGTCAAACAACTTTGGATAGTGCACATGATAGTACATGGAGACACCAGAATAGAAAAAAAATCGAGAAAATCACAAAAAGAACTGCAAATAAAAGTAAAATGGCTGTAGCATAAGAAGCAAGGTAGTACTAATAGTGATAGGTGCCTTCCGTGCAATTTCAAAACATTTAAAACATTTGGAACGCTACTTGAACCAACAATGGCAGAATCACCACCAGTCAATTGCAAAAGGCAACTTTACTTGGAATAGCCTAGATCTGTGACAATACTTTTAACACCCTCTAACGTCTTCTATCCCATGTCTAGGGATGGGCTCAACAATGGACAAAAATGCCAAATCCAATATAAATATCTGACTGATTGCATGTCCAATAATTTTATTTATGTCTTTGAGTCAGTGTTGATTCCTACAACTACCTGGAGAAGCCCTGCAGTTTTTTGGTAAGGGTTTCCTGAAGTATTTTGCCCTTGCTTACTTCCTAGGGCTGAAAGTGAGTGACTGGCTCAAGGTCACCCATTTGGCTTCGTGCCTAAGGCAGGTCTAGTAGTTAATCCTTGACTTATGACCACAATTGAGTCTAAAAAATTATGTTTTTAAGTGAGACATTTGTTAAGTGACCTTTGTCCCATTTTATGACCTTTCTCGCCACAGTTGTTAAATGAATCACTGCGGTTGTTAAATTAGTTACAAAGCTGTTAAGTGAATTTGGCTTCCCCATTGATTTTGTCAGAAGGTAGCAAAAGGTAAGCATACGGCCCATAGACACTACAACCACCGTAAATGTGAACCAGTTGCCAAGCATCCGAATTTTGATCATTAGCCATGGGGATGCTGCAATGGTCATAAGTGTGAAAAATGGTCATAAGTCACTATTTCAGTGCTGTTATAACTTTGAATAGTCACTAAATGAATTGTTGTAAGTCGAGGATTACCTGTACTCACAGTCTCCCAGTTTCTATCTTGGTGTCTTAAATACTACACCAAACTGACTCTCTTCTCAAATTATAGACAGCAAGAAACTCTAATTTTCACTTTATTTTTGAAAATTTATAAACATAAATAATTTCATATGCGTGATATTTTATACCCAACTACTTTATGAATGTCTGAACTTTCAGTACAAATGGTTATCTGCTGGACCACTAGATGTAAAATATGCAAAATATACTTAAGGAACCAATTATTTCCTGTGCTTTAAATAAAAAAAAAATAGTCTTAAAAGAAGAAATGTTAAACTGGAAACATGTATTTTCATAATTTCTTAATAAATTACTTCCCACTAAGAAGTACTTACTAGCATATAACATCAGCAGTTTCAGATATCTGGAGAACCAGGCAAAGTTTGAACATATTGATTAAACAAAACAATTCTTTTAGTTCAGCATGAACACAACACACTAAGTGATAAATTTAAAGTTTCAGTAATATTACAAAAAACTTTATTACAATATGTGTGTGTGAGAGAGATATGTATGTGTGTATGATGAATTTAAAGTTTCAGTAATATTACAAAAAAAATATTTTTCTTTTTTAAATTTTTCCTTTGTTGAAACCTATGTGCTGGTATAGTCACAAAAAATTACTTTCTGAACAAATTAAGATGGAGAAATTAGAAATATTACTTATAGCAAATGGAAAGGCAAAATGCCAAGCTTAGAAAAATTCTTTAAGGTGCACACAGATACATTGATGCCTAAACTTTATGATTTTTTTCAGTTTGTGTTTAAATCTAGAACTGGTTTTCTTTATGAATCGTATTTCTTTAATTCTTAAAAGAGCTGAAATTATACATATTAGACAAATTACAAAACTGTTTGATTAATGAATAAAACAAGGTAGATGAGTCCCTGTGGATTTTACTCTGCTAGTCATTGCCAACTATAAGGGGCAGTGTTCATCTCAATTTCAAGGTCATTAAGCCAGCACTGTCCATAGACATTTCCCTCATGTGACCATTAAGGAGCGCTGTTACCTTCCCATCAAAGTGGTACCTATTTATCTACTCACATTTGCATACTTTCAAATTGCTAGATTGGCAGGAGCTGGAGCGAGGACACTCACCCTTTTGTGTGGTGTTTGAGTCTCAAACCTGGGTTGCCGCCTTCCCAGCTTACAAGCCTAGAATCTTAACCATTGAGCCACTGCACTGCCCTGATTAATGAATGCTGGTGTTAATGATTAATGAATGCAGATGTTAAAATGTTTTGCCTGTTATTTTAATTTATCATCTTGAAAATCACGTTGTTAAAAGCTAATAGCTTTTCCTGAATAATCACCATACATAGAAAAGGAACTAATTGTCTGAGATTATTAGTAAATTGTATAGCATTGAATTCAGCTGTAATTACAGTATTTTATTCATTAATTGGGTGCATATTATAAAACTTTGGGCAATATCTTATTTTTCATTCTCTGTTTTTTTCTTCTATTTTATTTTCCAGAACCACAAGTGAGAACTAATGGATTTCATTCCCTTTTTTAGTAAGCAAGCTATAGCAACTCCTTTATTATCTCCTTTATTTCATTAGTATCTGAAAAAGGCTTTCTTTTAGTGCTTTGACACAAGCAGGAAGGAAATATAAAAAAACTCCAATCTGCAGAAGGTAATTTTAGGGACATGATTCATGACTAGAAGCTATAAAAGTTTTCATTTAATACAGAAACGATTAGTCTAGAGTCCTATTACTCATGTTAAATTTTTACTTTTTTAAAAATTCAACCCTTTTTCTGAATTCAAAAGTACATAGTAATGCAGATTACCTCTCTTTGGAGCTTACGTTTCTCTGCTTTCAATTCATCCTCTATTCTTTCAGCATTTTCTGCAGCTGTTTTATAGCGAACAACTTGACCTTCTAATCGTAACACCTAGCATGATATGATAGGAGAATATTATTTATTTTAATAAAAATATATACTCCATCTTCATTTCAAAGGATTGTCTATCCAAAATAAACAGAAAGTGAAATTTAATAAAATTCTAAATATAATTATACCTTCAAAATAAACAAAGATTAACACATAATTCTAAAATTTTAAATATACTACTTTTTAAGATGCCTGTGAAGTAACTGGCTTCCCAAAAATGACAATGTTGATGCAAACATGGAATGATACAGGTTGTAAAACATATTTTACTTCAAAGCTTTGAAAAAAATAAAATTGAGAGTATAAACATAAGAACTTGAAACAAATTCTTTGCTCCCTTTATATCTCCAAAACCAAGGATATAAGATTGCAACCCATGTCGGCCTGCTGCCAAAATTTCAGCTAATTTGAAAAATAGTGCAAACAGGGAGATGTACATAATTTAAAAAACAAAACAAAAACTTGCCTAGTACGTACTTTGTTGGTGGCAGAAATAATATAATTTAGCAGATGAATTGTGCAACGCTTTGGATTTGGTCCACAAAAGTTGCTTTAGAATGTGGATCTACAGACATGGCATCAAACGCCTTAAAGCAACTATGATTTTTCCTAAAATTAGTTGAGTGTCTGAGTGTTCTGAAATGCCTTTTTGGAATTACATCTGGGATAATGCACAGGTTCTAATTAACAGAATCTAATCAGATTCCTGAACTGTAGGAACAAATGTCAATGCAAATTTTTTTAAAAAAATCCTGTTAGGTGATGAGCTAACAATACAACTAAAGAGTTAAGACAACTTTCAAGCTGGATTTAGCAGTTGCTAATAAAATTCAGCAAGCTAAAACCACAGCCTATCCAACATCATAAATCAAATTTAATGAAAATATTCCCATTCCTATTGGATTCATAACAGTTTTATTTTCAAGGAATGTTTAAAAATATTTTTAAGTCAAGCATTGTCTGCGGTGTAACTTTGATTCTTGCATGAATAAATAAAACATCATTAACAACATCAGGTCTGATCCAGGTGAGAATCATCATAGGCACAGAAATATGTGCACATAAGCATATGAGAATAGTCTGGAATCTGACTATGAGCAGCCAACTATACCAAACATACTGCTCCTAGCTCAAATTTGGGTGAGATGTTTAGAGAAGCCATTGGGTGACCACTTTTCACTCTGTCATTATGGATCCCCAGACAGACTGTGGCACTCTGAAATACTCAAGAGTTGAGATAACAACTAGAGGTGTTTTCTTTCTGTTCTTCAATTGTCCCAAATGGGATTGTAATGAACTCAACATGTAACACTCACAATATTTAAAATTCAACAATACTAAGGGGCTAGGATACTTTTATTAAAAATCTCTACAGCTTCTCAAGGGATGATGCAATGCCTCTGAGAACATTTCTGGACCCTTAGGAAAGAAGCTAGGGTTCACTCACTCAGAAGAAAAGAAATAAGATTTAAATAGGCATGTTTTTGCATGCAGGGATGACACTCTGAAAAGGGAGCATTTTAATGGTCTAGTAACATGATGACTTGTTCTGCCACCCAGCCTCCAAAGGATGGCTATATTATCCATCTATGAAGCTGATTTTTATCTTCTTCCCTCAGAAGAGGCCAAATCTTAACACAGAAGTCGACTGAAATTTGATACAACTAAATATGGTAAGAGGTAATCCAGATGTTGATCAGCTAATATTAAAAATAGATTATTGGAAATCTGGCAAAATGAATGCAACTGCAAATCTAAACAGGTGGGTTTAAGACAGCAAAAAAGTAAGACTTTAGGAAGGTTGTCAGAATTACAGGTGTGGTACCTTAAGAACTGGTTTTCTGCCAAAAATTGGCTGAGAAGATTTCTGTTCAAACATGGGAGCGTTTAAAAACATCTGAAATATTTTCTTAAAGCTGGCACAAGAAACCTCCTGAGTTGACAGGTAGACAGTTAAATCATGTTACACAAGCATTTTTTTAAGGTTACAAGTTGATGTTAAACAGAAAAGATGCCAAAAATATTTCAGACACGTGAAGATGTTGCGTTATAGTTACACTAGATAATCCTCACAGATTACTTATTTTGTGCAAAAAATATCATTTTTAGAAAACTATACACGGGAAAACATATTGTTAAAGTACATTGCCCATTGTTTCTTTAGTAGAATATAGTTTAAATTGTATTATAGGGTAGGGAGTATGGCTGATAATTGGAGAGTGAACAAGAAGTCTCCCAATGATGTGGGGATGTAGCTAGAAGAGGGAGGCTCAAAATATTTCAGCCCATTTTTTCAGGGTTTCAATTAAAAGAATAGTAAAGATTTGCAGATAATCCCCCCCCCCCCAATCAGAAGGCAATTTTCTCTTTTAGGAGGGGAAAGGAATTAGGATAAGAGTAAAGGACAAACTCCTACTCAAAAATGCTTAGCTCTCTCAACTGTTCATCATGCAATTTAGCCTCCAGACCCTTTACTATCATTGTTGCTCTTCTTGCACACTTTCTAGGGTCTGGTGTTGACCAGAACTGGATGCAGAATTTCACCTGTGCAATAGAGAGCAATACAGCACTCCAGAGGGTTAATGTCATTGCCCAGAAGATCATTGGTTGCCTTCTCCCCTCTTTGGAAGAGCTTTATAGCTCCGCTGCCTTAAGAAAGTTCAAAACATTCTCAAAGATCCATCTCATCCTGGGCACCCTTTTTTTTTTTAACTATCACCATCTGGATAATAAAAACAAGGACAAATAGGCTGAAAAAGAGCTTCTATCCCAGGGCAGTATTCTGCTGTATCGTGCAGTGTTGGTGTGGTGTCGGGGGTTTTCGGTTCAATGTGTGGAGGGTGAAGGATGTGTGTTTGTATTTATTTTCATGGTCATGGTCATGATGTGCACTGAAGATGGTGTTTGATTTCATTGTATGAGGTGCAATGACAATAAAGTAAAGTAAACTATCACTTCTTCTGATCTTGATACTGTCTCTCTGTTAATGCAGCTAGGACTACATTAACTTTTTTGGCAGCTGCCGCACACTGCTGACTCATACTTAAGTAGTGGTCAACTAGGACATCTTGATCCTTCTTGCAGTTACTACTGTTGAGCCCGGTACCACCTATTTGATACTTTATCTTTTGGTTTTTCTTGCCTAAGACCTTATTTTCTCACCATTGATCTGCATTTTGTTGGATAGGGCCTAATGCTCAACACTGAAATCAAACCCAAATGGCAATTCTGATGGGGGAAGTTTCTGATGGAGTATATTGAGGAGTTTCCTAACCCTGACTGAGATAGAGAAAGCGGAAAACCTGCACCACCAGCATGGGAAAGACAAAAAGGAGTAAGGAACAAAAGAGTTGGTGCTTTTCCACACCAATTCACTAACTATTCTGGAATGAAAAATGAAAAGTTCGAACTGGCACTGAGTAACAAATTCAGTTAGTGGGCAATCCTTTTTAATTACGGTTTTGTTTTTTCCAGAGGGGATACAAGGGTCAGGTCTGATCCTATTCCTGACCAGCAGAGAGGAAGCAAAGACACCCAGGAGGAAAGCAGTCACTGTCAACTTTGAAGCTGGCCTGACCGAGGCCATCTTGAAGGCTTCAGTGTTGCCACAATGGTGCTGAGGGGTGGGGGTGGGGGAATAGAGATAGCTGGGGTTTCATAGCCAAAACAAAGTAGTTTCCCTTGAAAACCAAGGACATGCCCACAGGTGGTTGAAGATAGGAGTGAAGTTTCCAAGCAACCGGACAGCACTTTGGTTGAACCATGTGACTGATTGTTGGGGAAATGGGGGGGGGGGGGACACTTTTACTTTTAAAGTGAAAACCACAGGAAGATTAGATATTAAGAACTTGACAGTAAAAGCTGTCAATCAATGGAATAGATTATTTAGTGGAGTGGTTTCTTCACTTCCCCCAAGAAGAAAAAAATGAGAAAACATTTTAAAGAATGGGTTAATGAATGGATAAATGACAAGCCCCTTAATCAGCTGAGATTTAAAGAGAAGAAACGGAAATGGCCCAATAACTGAACAGGGGTGCAAATGTGTAGCTCAAGCCTGCAGGAGCACAGACAGGAGAAGCTTAGGCTACAAGATGGGAGAGATATACTAGTGCAACCTCTGTGCTTGGCAAGGAATCAGAACTGGTGATCAACAGACCTTCTCTCTTTCTCTTTTTATAAGAGAAGGAATATTTCAGCAGCCTCACACTCTATACTAATCTAGATTAGAAAACACCATACCAAATAACTGAACCCAAATCATGCCTATATATTTTTTTTCTACAAATAGAGTGTTCCTGGATGGGATAATTTATTTAATAGATTTATATTCCACTGCAATCTAGCCCAATGCTATTCAACATCTGAAGTAATGCAACAACCATTTCAAATACATTAGCAAAAGCACTGCATGTAGCTCAAAGATGATAGACCTTACACTTTTAAATAGAATAGAATTCTTTATTGGCCAAGTATGATTGGACACACAAGGAATTTGTCTTTGGTGCATATGATCTCAGTGTGCATAAAGAAAAAATACATTCATCAAGAATCATAAGATACAACACTTAGTGATAGTCGTAGGTTACTAATAAACAATCAAATCATTCTAGGGAACAGATAAAACAATATAAATTGTAAAGATACAAGCAACACAGTAATAGTCATAAGTGGGAAGAGACAGATACTAGGAAGTATTATAATCTAGTAGTAGAGGAATAATAGTAATACATCTTAGTAAATAAGTTGACAGTGTTGTGGGAATTAGTTGTTTAGCAGAGTGATGGCATTTGGGAAAAAACTGTCCTTGTGTCTAGTTGTTCTAGTGTGCAATGCCCTATAGCGTCATCTTGAGGGTAGAAGTTGAAACAATTTATGTCCAGGATGTGAGGAACAACCTTCCCCTCCCCCCACTTTCAAAACAAGTATAGACTCTTGAAAACTTTGTATTTCAAAAGGAATCTTTTATTGAAAAGGGGTGAAAGTAAGTCAAAATTCAAAGC